ACGATTACCAAGTATTATCTTCTATATATTATATTTATCAGTCCAAGCAGCGTTTATTAATTTATAAACTACTATTTTGAATTTCCAAGGTATACGTACTTTGTTCCAGCTTACTGCCTCCACCGTGATATATATGTCTGAATCGATAGGAAACCATGCGAGTGGACGATGATAGAACCACATTTCAACATTAATCCGAAAATGCAATAACCTAAAACTCACTCATTGCCGTGTTGCTTCATTAACTATTTCACCACCAGACTTTCTCGCATGAATTTTTATGCATTTTTTTCTTATAATTTTCAATACTTCTAGAATTTTTGTCCAAATCTTCTGGACTATTTTGTGAATTTGTGGTGAAAAGAGGAAACTGTTGGTGGTAGGGTTAAGTACGACAGTTAACTGTCTTGGGTCGAGGTTCGAGTAAACGTCCGAGTCGTACTTCAACTACTGCAAAATAATTTTACCCGGAATTACTTATTAATGAAAAGGATTTTTCGGTGTTTAGTATGAAATTCATTTTCACCGACTTTTAGTGAGTTGTATCATGGATCTCTTTCTAAGGTATATGATTGAATGTAAAAGGTCTATATTATGGTAAAATATAGGAAAAAGTGTAAACTTGCTGCATTTTCTTTTCACTGAAAACCGTTTCAGCGACAACAAACAACAAACTAAGACAGTACCAGTTACTACAAATCACTTTCACGAAATACAATTCGTATTAGAATCACCAGCAAAAAAGCTAGATAAATCTTACAGGGGCCTCATTGGAGATTGTGGCGTGGATATGAAAAGGAGGAATGGTGGTGTCACGGTCGCAAAAAGGACGTAAAGGTGGGGTCATATGGAGGTCGTACAGAGAGTCATTCTTACTTTTTTGGTGATAACAACGTTTAAAAGTGACAAGTGGGAGTACCCATGATGACGACTATTTCACGTGCTGTTGTGTAGACAGTTTATACTCTGCGTTGACAAATCGTCGATACGCTTGACTGAGATGGCAGCAAGCGTCTCATAAATCATCCTCCAACAAAACAGAACACACGCTGGCGCTGTTTGAGCCAACACGAGCCACACTTTTGCACAGCAGTCAATGAACCTAACATAGCTAGTGAGTAATTGATTAGTAATAACGAAACGTGCTGAAAAGTAAACAGGTAAATAACTTCTTATTCAGAGACCCTCAGTTGACAAGGAACAAGGAAATGTTGATACGGTTGCTAGGCTGAAATTGACTCTGTGTTAATTGGGCAATAAAAACAAAAAGTACAAAGGTGCGGTGTTTACAATTCTCGGTGAATAAGGAAACTAGAATCTACAACAATTCCGAAGTTACCAAGGCAGTATAATATCAAGAACATTTTTGGAAAATTATTATTAAAAATTAATTTTATGCAATGATTAATGTGATATTATTAATATTATGAAGTATATTTTAGAAACACTAAACTAATAGTGACACATAGTGAACCCCTCTCAATGATATGCAAATAAGCAAATATTTTTACTTTATGATGTATGGAGGACAAGAGGGTGGGATTTGGACATAAGTGATGCAGTATGATTACAGTGTATCTGTACAACAACTCGAATTCTCTGCGGTATGAGCTCGCATCTCATAATATGAAACGAACAAATAATAAACTACGGGGATCTAGACACAGTAGAAATAATGAAGTTCTGTATGTGCATGTAGTTAGTTATGAAAGATACTAGTAGTCGATTTCATTCCACAGTATGCCTTGCTTGTGTTTATCTAATACAGCCTGTAGTTGTAGATGACAGACTCCGCGCATAACTGTCGTGTGTATTACCGATAACTCGTCTTTGTTAAATTGATTTTATTTAAAGATGATACCTAGGTTCGTAGCTCATAATCTAACAATCACCGCTGACGTCAATTTCCATAGCAAATACGAACATCAATGTTCTAGTATCCTCGGGGCGGACATCCGGGCATTTTCTACCGCCTGGCAACCCTCGCGGTGAAAACAAAGACCAACAACTCGCAGAAAACGGTACTTTGCGATGGTTGTTGAGAGTCCCCTGAACAGTGTAACAAGATTAGCCCTACGTGTGTAACATATATGAATTTGGTTGTTCAGGATTACTTCAAAGTTGAGTTTGTGTTGTTTTCTCGAGTTTTCACCGGCTCCACGGCGTTCCACAGCAGCGCGCACAAAGCCCCATAGAAATACGTGGTACAGTGGTGCGCGTCTTAGCAACGTAGAACGTCCGTGACGTAGCTCCGCCCCCGAGGTATATATAAAGTTTCGTTGTTGCAATTATAGCGGATCATAAGGTGTTATAGCGCCACCACACGTCGTCTGCTTTCAAATCTCCAAGTGACTAGCACTAACGCATTTTTATACATGGAAATGTTTCATCTGTTGTTGACATTTCGATAAATAAATGTAAATACAATTATTTAAATGCTGACGTGATATAATACGTAATCCAATGAACGCCATGCCGCCATAACAGATTGTGTGTGAAAGCAAAGTATGACGTCATTTTTGTATGATGACTAAAGCCGCCGCACCTGATTTGGTATGAACGAAATAGCGTCTGTTTTTAGGAATATATAGTGGTAACTAAAAAAAAGGAAGTAAAACAATGGCTATATTCGATTAAATGATTTCATTGAATCATTGAATGCTTAGACTACACCGATTTAATTTTATGGATGACATCCGCGCGCGCATTAGTTTTTGCCTGTTCTCAAAAAAAAAAAAAAAAAAATCTCCGACGACGAGTCTCCATAGATCGGTTTTCTGTCCGGAACTTGCCGACTCACATTATCGCAAAGCGCCGACTTGTCGTAAAACTCGTTTTGAACTACCTCAAAACCAAACTCCGCACAGTTAGATGCGCGTTACGTAAAGCGAAAAGACCCATGGGAAAGAGATTGCCTCAAAACATGCAAATTTTGCCATAAGTGATCCAACATGGCGACCACACCACCAAAATACGTGAGCATAAAAGTTCAGAGGTGAAACGGAGGGATTGTTGTAGACTGGTACGCAATTGACGTTGGCCAGGGAGACGTTTACACGACTATACGAGAGGTCGGTAGCGGCAAGAGAGTTTCGCCCAGACAACATTAAGAACATATTGTCCAAAGTGGCTGTCCCGCGTTTCTTCTGCAACGATGAGAAAAATGGGAGAGGAGTGGAGGTGTATGGTGGCCTAAAAGTTGGTCAGGCGAAAAATCAGTTCGGTTGCTTTGTCCGCATTGAAGTCGACAAAACTGCAACGAAAGCAGCAGAAGCTCCTTGGCCGAAGTCCCCTTACGGGGTGAAGAAAAGTTTCTTCTTATTTTTTTTTTCATTTTCTGATTTGGATAATTTGCTTGCACACACATTCAGTAATATTTTGATCATATGACGCATTTTCATCAAGATACATGTACATAATTTTCTGCATCCAAATTTTTGTTGACTCTCTGTTGGTGTTTTTTTTCAATATCGAGCCTCTTATAATTTGTTACATAGTTGAAGTAGTTCTAGAGCATTTGTGTCTACACTTAGTCTATCTGAAGTGTCACTTTAAAAGCTGTAGTTTGAATGTCAAAGAAGTTAATTTCCAGGTTGCTGTTGACAAACTTATTGTTCATTTTTAATTATTTTTTTTTCAATACAACACAGTAAGTTTTTCTTTATTATTGAGTTGATGTGTATGCCTTTGGCAAAGCTAACATCTGCCTTATCAACTTGCCTTTTCAAAATCAAAGGTGATGATACCTGTGACAGTAATACAGTACGAAATGTGTACATCAACATGTGCCTCCTACAAATAAAGACTTGTTTTTTTTTTTTGATACACTGTGGTTAAATTCGTAATAATAGCTTCGTAGTCCTGTGGTTTTAGCAGCATTTTTTTTTTGGCCGATTTTTTTTTTCGCCCTCTCGCATTAGTTTTGGGGTCTTCAGAAGATGTCATCCATAAAATTAAATCAGTGTGGCCTTAGTGTTACTGGCTTGTTTCATATCCAGAATTGTCACGTACTCAAGACAAAATCACGAGTTTGATTTATACCTTGAACTAAATAGCGCCACCAAACAGTACATTTGCAATATACTAGTAACGGTAAGCACTCACCACGCAGAAAACATCATCTTCTGTCGTCCACCCACTCTACCGCATCCACCCCCTCAAAAACAATTACATCGTCTAACTCATCGTCTAAAACATACGGATTTCACACATTTGCATTAGAAATATTCTCATGTTACTTTCTCTGGTTGGCTGGTTTCCGCCTCAAGTGCAATGGCACCGAGGTTTATTGCTTAAATATTGTTTTCAGCAATTAATTTTGGAAATATTGTGCGTATAAAACCCATTTTCACTGAATACAGTTTAATTTGTATTTGGTTTCGGGCTATGGGTCCGCTAATTCGGGGCCTAGGGCGGTGTATGGGAGTGGTTGTTGCAAGAAGGACCAGCAACCCTGTGAGTTTATTTCTGGGAGCCTATTGCAGACATTACCATTTTAAAGGGGGCATATTTGCTTTCCGCGCGGTCCCGCTTTAAAAGGTGAAAAACACCCCGCTTTCCCGCTAAATTTGAAACGCACATGGGGGAGTAACAGCATATATAGTGACTCCCCGGGAATGGCGCACCAAGCCACAAGAATTTTGTGGGTTGTAGCGCCACCACACGATAGTAAGGTACTACGCTGGTTCCCGGCGTCCTTTGCGCGAAACGAAATTTACCACCTATAATAACTTACATATTTATAAATATTTATAGATAAATTTTAAGCAATTATATATCTTCTCTGATGCATTTCAATCTCAATGAGTTTTTAACCATATTCGCAAGTTTACAATTGTTTATTTTTTTCTTTCCACCCATAAAGTTAAAGTTTGAAGGTTTATAATATCAAAACCAGGTTGAAAATAACAATAAAACAGAAATTGAACGCTGCATTTTACAAAATTATCACGGGGCACAGTGCCCCAAGGAGGAGCACAAGAACCAAAACTGATTAGATGGGTTCCACCGAGCCTTCAAAAGTGTGTGTATATTTATGTTTTGACAAAATCTATACTCATATTTATACCAAAGTACATTTTTTAAAACCTATATTATACCAAATAAAGAAATTTAATTTGTCTAATTTTTCAAATAACTGGGCCTGGGCTACATGAAAGACGTCGCCGGGGGTAATCGCAACAATTTAACGATATTTTAACGGAATTTGGTCGGGGATTTAGGTCTTGCATATAAGATCGATTTTTATTCCAAAACGGTACCCTGTACAGCTCAAATATTTAATATATACCCTGAATTTATATATATTTAGACAGGAAATATGACCAAATTATTACTAAAATTTTGAAAAACCTAACACATTTCAATGACACGTGGATTAGGTAATTTCTACAAAGTACCACAACCCGGGCACAGTGCTTGTTGAAGCGTCACCAAGTATTCAACAAACTCACCGACTGAGGGCGTACAAACAAGGCATTTTTTTCGTATTCCCAGGAGAACACTTGCTATCCTAGCTGTTTCGTTCTGTTGGCGTAAACACTTGCACGGTCGCTGCTCGCTTGAATATGAAATGCCGTCAAACATTTCGCGATTCTATGTCAGTAGATCTTATAACCGACAACTTTTCACTCGTCTACTTTAGGTTGCAATGCCGGAGTCTACAGCTCTCATCACTTCGAGACGATGCCGTACGATGGATTTTTTAATAACTTGGCCCATCATGATTGGGGAGCTGCCGGTGAGTACAATACAAGGGAGATAGATAACTCTAGCCCGATTTTTATAAATATAGATTACAGTTAGGGGTCAACCATTTCAAATTATGGGGGGGGGGGAGTGGCTGAAACGGGTTATAATTTCACAAATAGAAAAAGAGGAGAATCTGCCTGTGTATTTACAAATTTTCAGAAATACTTTTATTATCTGAGGTACAACTTTCTGCTGTTCATTTTAAAATCATTCATAATGTTGCGATTTTCTGTTCTTTAAATACTGCTCAAGTTGTTTTTATCTGAGTTAGTGTTGTTACAGTTGCTGTGCTGTGCTTCATCGCCATTTTCAATTTTTAAATGTCTTTTTAACATTTTATAAATTAATTGGAAATCACAACCGTAGGGGTGACATGAATTAAGTATACTACTTGTACTTTAAAAAAAAAAACATATCTGCAAATAATTAATTTGAAGCATTCTGAATAAATGATGAAATCATAATGTTTTTTTCATAAATTGACTGTGATAACTAGGCAGACATAGAGACTCATGGGTAATAGCAGAGGTACATTACTTGGGGTTTGCAATGCGCATAGTACTGTATGGTGACATCACGTCAAGATCCCATTCAAGTCTCACATCATAGATTGCGAGACTGGTGCTACGACCTTCTGACATGACATAGGCGGTTTGTAATAAAACAATAACACATGTATTACCACATTCATAGTTAAAAAATGTAATACATCGAAAATGTACAGAAAATATAGCTATCGTAATCCGTCACATCGTGAGCAGCTATTTTGATCCACCTGGACATCCCAATATCCTAGTTACCTCGGGCATGTGCATTCGAATTTTTCTGAGTTGGAACGCTTATGCGAGAGCAAGACTGAAACGGGATCTTGGTATCATGTCAACGTAGTTGCAAACCTCAAGTAATGTACCTCTGGTAATAGTCATTGACAATAGACTAACCAGCCTAGTTGGAATGTAGTACAAGGGTAAATGTTTTATAAATGTTTTCAAACGTTTATGACTGTTCTAAAATGCTTTGTTATTATACAATTAGTATAATCTTATGACAAAAATAACTTAATAAGAATAACTTTGCTATTTAACATTATAGACACAAAATAGTGTTTCTTATTCCAGTACTCGTAGTACATGTAAGTTATACAAAAACTACCCCCTGTGGTCATAGTAAAATGAGATATTCTTTGCTTTATAGATCGACCATTGACAAGAACAATGCTTGCTGCATACAGTGATGGTGTGTACCAGCCTTCAGGTGATGACAGACCAAACCCTAGGGAGATTAGTGAGGCTGTTATGAAAGGGTGGACTGGAGAGGGATCGTATGTCAATAGAACTGCATTACTTGTGTTCTTTGGTAGGATACTTTCCAATTTTATATTTTGAATATATGAATTTATATTTAAGACAGGCATTACAAAAATATATATGTTAGAACACTGGATTGGCACAATTTTGATGGTGGTAACCATGACAACAAGGACATATTTTCACTTTGTTCACACTATCCTTAACTGGTTCATTCATTTCTAGTATGCCTCCATCGATCTTATGTCACATTTAAAGTTTGGCATGAATGCTCATTGTTGTCATGGTTACAATATTTATGTTTACACAGGATTACATAATTAGGTATGTAATCAGAATATTCATGCATCTTCAGTATCTGATTTCTGAGGTGCCAACAGAAAGCCATTCTTTATTTCACTGTAATATGTTGACTCAGAAGCACAAAACATAATTTCATGAGTGGCTCTTTGTTTATTCTGCCATTTCGAGCTACACCAACCGCACTACTTTTAACATAATAATGACTTGTAACACGTATATATTCTGGTGCATGAAATAAAATAGTCCTCAAAACAGTCACGCTGTGCGACCTCTGGAAGCCAGTATGTGATGAAATTTTGCACAGGGTTCAGTTTAGACAGATTTATACTTTACAAAGAATGTCATATGTATTATTTATTTCACTCTCAAGGACAACAAGTAGTGGAAGAAATCCTGGATGCCCAAGGATCTGGATGTCCTCCAGAATATTTTAACATTAAGATTCCAAAGAATGATCCAGATTTTGATCCAGAGGGAAAAGGCAATGTGGAGATTCCCTTTTTGCGCGGCCGTTATGATAAGAGCATCGGTTACTCCCCTAATGCACCGAGAGAACAGGTAAATCATTGTAAACAATGTATATGTAATGAATTAATCTAGGTGTAAATAAACAATTACAATTTTTTTGTGAGTAGTTAGGCAATTCCTGGTAATGAGTTAGGCAATTCCTGGTAATGAGTTACTGTAAGTTAGACAGTTCCTGGTAATGAGTTAGGCAATTCCCGGGGATAAGTTAGGCAATTCCTGGGAATAAGTTAGACAACTCATTGTGAAGTTAAAAAATTCTTTGTGATAAGTTAGGCAATTCCTGGAGATAAGTTGGGAAATTGCCTTAGTTAGGCAATTCATTGTGCAAAGAAATTGCCTTGTGTAAGTTAGGCATATTTTTTAAAGTTAGGGTTTTACTTGTAAT